TGGAAGCTTACATACATTAGTTATATGGGCAAGGTGCTGCTTGTGAGTTGTCATTGTGTTCCTAACTCGAAGCTATATGGACATGATGCCTTGCATTTTTATTTTTTACCCCATTTATATATATGCGCCTTTGCATTGAACTATTCGAATTTCGTTTAATGGTTTCTTCTTCAAGTACTTTTCATTTCGTCCCCTTTAGTAGAGCACATTGTTTAATACCTAGAGTCAATATTTTACAGCTTGAGTGCAGCAATGGAGGAGAGGTTTGAAGATGTTTTGCAGGTTGGAAACTGGAGTTGTATTAATGTATGATAGCAATTGTTATGCCTTCTTAATAAATCTGCACCTAAATAAATTATTTATTATATTACTGTTTGGATATTTCTTTGTCGGATGTAATCTTATTAAATTATTAACACTGTAAATTTTATTCTCTATATTGTTTTCATAGGAAGGATACTATGCACTATGTTCTAGAGAAGCATTTTATATTTTAAAGGGACAATTATTTTCCAAAGAGACTTCCAAGCAGTAAAGAAAGAAAAGTTGGAGAGGGAGAGATGAGCGATTGATAGGCTGACTTAATTGTGAACTCACCAGATTTTGAGGCAGGCCTATGGATAAAATCCTCGGTCCATGAGAAAGTAGAGATTGGAGTAGCTAAGATTTCTGATATTAAGGTAGAAGATAGAAGATGCCTTATATCATCCAAATACCAAATTCCATCCCAATGATGATACCGCAGTGAAGAAGTAGCACCATTTCCAATACCAATTTTAAGCCCCGAAGCAAGAAGATTACTTCATTCATTTTGCAGTTTGCTTTTTCAAAGTACATAGTTTTTTTTATTAACATTTCAAAACTTATTTGCCATCCTGCCAGGGGATATACATGCTATGTTAATTGGGGAGATTAATGGGGGTGCGCTCCACATCTCTAAGCATAAATTGCACCTTATCAACGTAACCACTAAACACGGTGCCCATCTATAACAGATTAGCAGAAAATGTAACTACCAAAGTACCAAATCAAAACCACCAAATTACTTGCATGTTAAGCCTAAACAGAGAATGAAACTACCAAATTGCTAGCTTACATGAATATCCTAAACGGAGAAAATGAAACTACCAAATTGCAAACCCCCTTCTGCAACTAATCAGCATCCTCAAAGTTTCCCATATAGCCCATATATATATGTGAGATTAGTTTCATCAGATGTCAATTTGTTAATAATCCAATCCAAAAATGACAACCCAAATACATGGGGTCAAAACTAGAAATTCCTTTAGGTCCAACTCTCATTGGAGCTTAAACTACTCTGACTGCATTGAAGCTGCTCAAAGTAGTTGGAATTCGCAGCAAAATGGCTCACCAATGCACAGGCTAGTCAAGAAAACACGAAAAACAAAACAGGTTATCAAGAAATGGGCTTTAGACAAAAGGGAGGATTGGAATGGAGAGTGGGATAGATTTGAAAAAGACTTACTTGAAGCACAATTGCTGCTAGAAAACGAAGGTGATGATGAGGATTTTAAAAGAGTAAGCAAGCAATTGCACGAGTACTCGCAAAACATGGCTATTTACTGGAAACAAAGAGCTAAAATCAACTGGGAATATGCGGGTGACACCAACTCGAGGTTCTTCTTTAACTTTGTCAAGGGCAGAAAGGTGAGGAACAAGCTGGAAGCCATTAAGGATGAGCAGGGGAACTGGATTACGGAGGAACATGAGATTGCTCAGGTTGCTGGGAATTTTTTCAAGAACCTGTATGGGTGTAACGCACCAGTGGATTCACCCTCAAGGGGTATGGAAATTGAACAGGTTATGAGAGCTATCAAAGCCACTCTCACGGAGGATCAAAGAGACATCCTCTCAAAACCGTACTCGAGGAGAGAAGTCAAGGATGCCCTCTTTGCCATGAAACCATGGAAGGCTCCAGGCCCAGATGGCATCCCTGCGGGTTTCTACCAAAAAAACTGGAATTGGGTACAAGATGATGTGACCGAGGCAGTTCTCTCGTGTCTCAAAACAGGTAATATTTTGCGTGAATTAAATTGTACACACATTGCCTTAATTCCCAAATGTGATAATCCGGATTCAATGGATAAACTGAGACCCATCGGGCTTTGCAATGTCGTTTACAAAATTATTTCAAAGTGCATCACAAATAGATTAAGGAAAGTGATAGGCGGTTTAGTGAGTCAGTTTCAAAATGCCTTCATTCCCGGAAGAGCAATCTCAGATAATATTTTACTGGCTCACGAATTAATAGAGAATATAAGGAAGACCAACAAAGGTGCAAAGACGAAGCTAGCAATAAAAACCGATATGAGCAAAGCTTACGATAGGATCAAATGGGATTTTCTGGAACAAGTGCTATATAAATTTGGGGTGCCTGGCCTTATGGTGAAAACTATCATGAACTGTGTTAAGTCAGTTTCCTTCTATGTGATTATTAATGGCGCTCCTAGGGAGAAATTTATTCCTAGGTGCGGTCTTAGACAAGGGGACCCCCTCTCCCCGTATCTGTTCATTCTTTGTATGGAATGCCTCTCCGGGATGATTATAAATGAAGAAGAAAAAGGTACCATAGCTGGGATAAAAGTTGCCAGAAATGCCCCAAAGATTAGCCATCTGTTTTTTGCAGATGACTCGGCTTTCTTTCTACAAGGGAATGACAGCAATGTGTTAGCTTTGAAGGAGGTCCTTGAAGATTATTGTAGAGCTTCTGGTCAGGTTATAAGCAAGGAAAAGTCTGTTTTATTGGATAGCCCTAACTCTAGCGAGGCTATTATATGCAGACAGAGTGCCTTATTAGGAATTAATAGAAGTACTGGTTTTGGTGTCTACTTGGGAATCCCAGCAGATTTTGGAGCCTCAAAACAACAGATTTTTAACACCTTGGTGGAAAAGGTGAAAGAAAAATTGAATGTCTGGAATTCTCTTTTTGTTTCACATGCTGGTAGACTAACTCTAATCAAATCAGTGCTCTCGAACTTGGGAACATATGTGCTTTCAGCCTTCAAGTGCCCTGTTAATATCCTCAAGAGAATTAATAGTGTCGTGGCAAAATTTTGGTGGCTGGGGAATAGGAATGGCAAGGGTGTTTACTGGAAGAGTTGGTCTCACATCACCAAAACAAAGGACATGGGTGGCTTGGGAATTCTGGATGCTCGTTTCTTCAACCAAGCACTATTAGCGAAGCAAGGGTGGCGCATTATTCATGACAGGGAGTCTCTACTCAGCAAAGTTTTTGGTGCCAAATATGGCATAAATAGGTTCTCCCTGTTCGAGGAGTCATGGAGTAGGAGGGCACTAGGATCGTGGGGGCTGGAATGGTATAAAATGGGGTCTGCAAGTCTTGAAGAAAGGTTGTGCTTGGTCCTTAGGGGATGGGTGCTATGCGAAAATCCACCATCCCTGGGTCTATTGCGCAACCCCAGAGTGGAAATATCAAGGCTGTTCTAATAATGACTGTGTGGCTAAGCTTAGAAAGGAGAATGGGGACTGGGACTTGGAGATCTGCAGAGAGTGGTTCTTAGAGGATTCGGTCAACAAGATCTCTAGCATAAAAGCCATGGAAGCTGGGTTTGAGGACTTGATAGTTTGGAAATAGGGGGTGTTTACTCAGTAAACAGTGGCTATAAAGCTATCTTTTATGATAATTATCATCAAAAGAAAGATATGAACTCAAGAAAAAAACACAACATTGATTGGAGGAATTTCTGGAGGAAGGATGGCAATCCTAAACACAAGATTTTCTTGTGGAAAATCCTAAATGATGCGCTCCCAGTAGGCAGTGAGAGGAGAAAAAGAGGCTTGGGTGAGCATCACCACTGTGTTCTGTGCTTCGAGGAGGACAGTCAGAACAATGGTCACTTAGAGACCTTAGAACATCTCTTTAGGGACTGTAATTTTGCTAGTCACATATGGAAAGGTTGCATGTTAGGTATCAATGTCAACCAACAAGATCGCATTCCCATCGCAGAATGGATATACAATTGGATGAAATTTTTGAGCGACAAACGAAGAGAACTAGGGGATGGCTACCAATTATTCCTAACAGGTTTGGATAGCATCTGGGAAGTGAGGAATGACAAAATATTCAATAACTCGAAGCCAAACCCGTGGACGGTAATCAAGAGTATGGACAGGAAGGCGAGTTTTGCCTACAAGGAAATGGATGAGCAAGTGGGAAAAAGGCAAGCACACATAAAAGAACAGCAACCTGAACCCCAGGCTCCGAAACAACTCGAGGAGAAATCAACAAGGAATGCCTACGACATAATGAAGAAATTCATCTTGTGTCAGGATACAGCAATTGTAGCACTACAAATCTTAGCATTCAACACAGCAGGACCAGAGGTAAGGAAGGTAAATGGTTTTGGATCCTGAAGAATGCAGATACCACGCTAAAGAGAGGAATAGCGAATATACAGCAACAGAGCCGAGAGTGTGAATTTTTGCACAATGTGCTGGACGGACTGCAGGAAGCTAGAAGAATGAAGCTGTGGCATTTGAAGATTGAGAGCGCAGACAAGCAAGCTGTCAAATGGATGCAAAGCGACCACTCAAGTATTCAAGGGGATAGGATGGCAAAAAGCAAGATAAACGATCTAATTCCTTTTTTCCATTGTATTTCTGTCTCGTGTAACAAGTCCAGGGAGTAGCTTCTCTATTCTTGAGCTGTCAAAAAAAAAAAAACTCTCATGGGTCCCTCACCACCTAATTATATACAAAATGCATCACAAATCCTCAGTGATTAGAAGGATCAGAGCATGAGAGGAGATTCAGATTGTATTATATAAGACTACATAAATTTACTAGCACTAAATGTTTACATTTACCTAAAAAGGATCATAGTTTTACCAAACCACAGAAAAGGAGTCCTAGTGAGTACATTTTTCATCAAAATGTTAACACACCACTAAGACAACCACTAATTACATACCACCCGCCTGCTCCACCATCAGACCGCCCCTTAGAGTTGCTCTTAGAATTTAGAACCTGAACCCCATCCAGAGGCGTTGCCAACATCGCTCACCAGATGTGCCCCAGCCACTACTTCCACCTCCACCGCTACTACCACCACCACCACTTAAACCCCAGCCAACAGGGAATGCTTCCTCACCTGGAGCAATATGTACTTTAGCACCAAGAAAGCTTCCCCAACAACCATTGCTCCCTTCTTTATTGTCAGAACCCCACTTGGAACCATGCCCGCTGTCTTTGTTATGTGAAACCCATCCAAAGGCGTTGCTCGCATAACCACCAGCTCCGCCCCAACCACTACTTCCACCTCCACCACTATTACCAGCACCACCACTACCCCAGCCACCAGGGAATGCTTCCTCACCTGGAGTATTATGTACTTTAGCACCAGGAAAGCTTCCCCAACTACTATTGTTCCCTTCTTTATTGTCAGAACCCCACTTGGAACCATGCCCTTTGTCTTTGTTATCTGAACCCCATTTAGAGGCGTTGCCAACATAACCAACAATTCCGCCCCAGCCACTATTTCCACCTCCACAGCTATTACCAGCACCACCATTTAAACCCCAGCCAACAGGAGCATTATGGACTTTAGCACCGAGAAAGTTTCCCTAACTAACATTGTTCCCTTCTTTATTGGCAGAACCCCACTTGGAACCATATATGAGCCTCGGCCACCATGCTCACGTCCACCGCTCCATTTTCCATAGCTGAAATCACTGCCATCTCTACTACTACTATCCTTGTTGCCATAGTATGAGCCTCGGCCACCAAGCCCAAGCCCAAGCCCAAGCCCAAGCCCACAACCTCGTCCACGTCCACCGCCCCATTCTTAATATGGCCTTGGAGCCCCACTGGGATGCCTATCAAGGCCTCCATTTCTATCATTCCGTCCTACAAAAAATGTTAAAAGTATCAAGCCTGAGGTGAGGCATTCACCCTCAACACAAAGCAAATACAACAGATCAATCTAATCTTTCAATCTAGAGTTCAAAATTTTATGCTTCAATAATCAAAACAAAGGTGTAGGCCTCAGACAAAGAAGCTAACCAGCAAGAAGAATACAGATCATTTTGTAAGGTCTAGTACAGAAACAGAGCAAGGAATAGTAGTCAGTGAAAACCTCCATGACATTAATATGTTATCCACGTAATTAAGTACCCATCATACACCAAAAAAAAAAAAAAAACCTTGAAACATGTGAGGATAGATAAAATTAATTGGCTAACAAAACTAGCCAATTAGCCTCCCTTTATGAACACCTTTGACATGATCCCAGATTAATCTATACATATTCCTATTTCTAAGTACCCCAAATTTGTCAAACAATATATACCAAATCAATCAATGCACTCTTTTTCAGTAATCTTTCCCTTTCTACTATTTCTCCAACATTGGGCCCCACAACCACCCACTAGTTTCTCTCTACTATATCGCTCTCAATTATCAAAGAGCAGATCCCCAGTGTGCATACATTGATATGGGTCACTAAGGACAAAGAGAGTTCTAGAAGTTGAACAGTTTTAACAGACAGAAATGTGTCATTCCTATATGACTTGAACTTTGAAGGCATTCATACAGTCAAAGACTGTTAAAAAGTCATACATCCATTTGGGTCAAAAGAATTGTGGAAGCACACAAACTAATATATGAATCACACATTCACACTAGACGCTTGATATACAAACAGGCCCTTTGCTATTCTTTACCTAGGTGAGGTGCTTTCAAAGAGACACACAGTCTTCTGTTTTACAGTTTTCTCTGATATTTATTAGGTGTACCTCATTTAATTAAGGCACTACAAGAACAAGAGCCCTATCACCTTAGTGCGCCTAGTCCTTTTTTATTACATTAGTTGAGGCCTTTGAGAATTGTAAAAGCCAACTTGGGTAAGAAACAGGATCACCAACACTAATCCAAGCAAAGCACCAGAAAGCATATTGTGTGGTAAAGAGTAGCCCAGAGAATAGACATGTATGGATATTGAGGATATCGAGCATTATATTGTGCCAGTACTCCAAATTATATTGTACAACCAATACCAGAATCACTAAAAAAAAAAAATATTACTAGTCTTGATTCAGAATCAAATTAAGCTATCAAAAATATTGTTTGATCATTTGTTTTGTTGCTTGAGTTTTTTTTTTTCCTTGAATTAAGGCTGATTAGAGTACAATTTCCAGTAAATTCATTTTTAATAATTATTCCTAGTATATTTTTAGAGATACAACCAATCAATGTATAGGTTAGTTGTAATATCTTGGCTCCTTAAGCTTACAAATACGCATCAATCATTAAGATACTCAAGTATACATATAGAATGATCGAATATACAAACCAATTCTAACTTGGGCTCAACCATCACGTTAAAGTTTTAGTTGAGTTGCCTTTAATATGATATCAAAGTTAATATGACACAAAGGTACATACTCAATCTCATCCACCCCCACTTTCAAGTGGAATATAGGAATTCAATCTCATCCACCTCTACTGACCAAAGTCTGTAACCCCTATAATACTATTATTAGCTTATGTTGTACTCCATGAACATTTTTTTTATGAAGAAACCAGGAACATTTTTTAATTAATGTGTGATTGAGCTTATGATTTAAAAAAAAAAAGTGTTGCATATATCGTTATTTAACTCTGCATTTCAATGTATTAATAATAATTGTTGTTCTTCGATTCTATCTTTGTCCCATTCCACGAAACATTTATATTAAACTCACAAATCATACCGTATTCATAAATTGTAGCACTCCATATTGTAACATAAATAGAAACAACAACAACAACATTGTAACGTAGCACACGATATTGTAACATAAATGGAAACAACAACCACAACAACAACAACCAAAGTAATCCCAACAAAAGATAAAACAACAAAGGATCTTAGCTAGATAGATGCCAGCTTTGTATGTAGCACATCATATTGTACCGGTACATTTCACACAACCATGTAAATATTTTATTGTATACAACAACGATAACATACAACACACGGCTATATATTATATATACGTTGTTATTTCCTCCCTAGGCCATCGATCAATACTTCCAACGTAGGAGCTGATCGAGCTAGTCGATCACTTGTCATCTTTAAGGTGATGAGCCTCGATATCTCTAGACACTGCAATGCAAAAATCGATTAACTTGGTAGGATAGTGTCCTTTATCATCAATTGTCTCAAACTCGGCAGTCCATTTCACTCCGGTTATGTCACCCATTGGAATCACTTGGACTGTAAGAGTGAAGGACTTAAACTCCTTTAGAAGATCTCCTTCGATGATTTTGAATCTCACTAGCTTGTTCTCTTCGTCGACTACTTCCACTAACTCCTTTGCTACACATTTTTTTCCATCTGCAATAATTTAAAGGGGTGTTAACTACCGCCAATATTTTTTATCAAAATCGCCAACATTTAAGGTGAATGGACACTTATGCCCTTACTATATTCCCCACTCATGTTCTTCTTTCTCTTTTATTTTTTTCTCTCTCATAACCCAATTCAACCGCCATCAACCACAACAATGGCTTTACGTCGGAGGTGAAGGGAAGCGGCAGCCGTACATCGTAGTTGATAGGGTAGCGATGGCGACGAACGGAGTAATGAACTGGTATCACTGTGGTCGTCAAATTAGTTCGTCCCCGATCTATTTTTTTAATAATCTCCGGCAAGCAAAACCGATTAAACACCATGGTAACCGGTTTTGGACGCCGGTTACCGTAGTCAACCAGCGTGAAAAACCGATCACCAGGGACGGTAACCGGTTTTGGACGCCGGTTGCCGTGGTCAACCGTCCTTTGAAACCAATTATCGTCCCGGGTCACCGATTTTGCGTGCCGATTGTGATGGTCGCCGGCAATATAAAAAATCCACCACCCTCCTACAAACGAAGGAAGCTGGTGGGTCGTTTTTTAGATGATTAATGAAGGTTGCTGGTGGTTTAATTTTGACAACACAAACAAAATGATTAATGAAGGTTGCTGGTGGTTTAATTTCGACAACACAAACAAAAATATGGTAGCTCTAGTCTTGGTAGTTGTGGACTTGTGGGCAGTGATGGTGGGTAGGTAGTCGTGTTCCTAGTTGCGTGGATGGTGGTGGTCGTGCTCAAGGTGGCGTGGGTGGTGGCGGCAATGGTGGTAGCCTTTGTAGTGCGTGGTTGACGGTTGAGTTTTGGCTTGATGGACTTAGGAGAAAGAAAGCAAAGTGGGGATGATTAAGGGTAATTTTGTCCCTTCAACACTTTTTGTTGGCGGTTTGATTAAAAACGTTGGCGGTATTTAGCAATCCACGGAACAATAAATTATAATTAAGATTGATTTATGTGAACGTGATTTTTTAAAATATTTGTCGAGCCTAATAAAACATATTTCTGGGCCTCAACCATAAGTTTAAGCTTTTGGTTGAGTTAGTCCACTAACAATTATAATAATAATAATTGGGGGAAGACGTATAGATTATGCCTAACCATAAGATAATAATGGATTTTGAAAATTACCGAGAGTATAGTTCCAGTTAATGATAGAGCCAGGCTTGCCAAATTCACCGTCGTGAACCTCACACGCATGGATATTTGAGGGAGACATATCGGCGACATGGTGAGGCCTTTTGCTAAAAATTTCATGAAAAATATCACCATGACATTTAATATCAACTTCAACTTCCAATTTCCCTTTGATGCCCATTTTTGAGAGAGTAGAGTAGTGCAAACAAAAATGGATGTGGTGATCAAGTAGTTGTGCTAGATGCCCCTTTTATAAGCGCATCAAAAGTGTATCTTTATAAGGCCTAGGGTGTTAATGAGCCGAGCCAACACCGAGCTGGGTAGCCCATTCTTGGCTAGTTACACTATTGCTCGAATTTGAGCCAAGTTTGAGCTTTTTCGAGCATAAATTATCAAGTTAAAGTTACAGTAAAACTCGACTTAGCTCAGGTTCGAAAATTATAACAATATAGTGTCTATTTTTAAGATATTATATATTGTAACTAAGTTTATTTATATTTTTTAGACTTATTAAAAAATATTCTACCAATAGTTACAATGTTACAAAAAAATTCTAAAAAAAAAATTCGAGCCATATATTGATGTGTCTCGGCTTGTAAAGCTTTCAAGCCGAGCTCGAGTAGTTTGCGAGCCTTTTTAATTCTATGATTTAGCCACAACTGTTTTCTATCATCGTAGGGTTGGAAATCTTCTTTTGTCGACCACATTAATTATGCTACTGTACTCCATATTCATTTAGGATTAAGATAGCTACAGGATAGATAATTTCTTATTGTACCTTTTTTTGACAAGAATTTTCTTATTGTACCTAGATAAAAATAAATAAATAAATAAATAAAAAATACATTGGACGATATAGTGGTTTTTCTCTTACTACAAAAGTAGCAAATTCACACCTTTCCTAAGGTATTTTTTAATTAGAATGTTGGAATTTTCACGATTGTTGATGCATATTTTAAACGTACTGTTAGTATATTTAATTATAATTATATAATAATTATCAAAAGTAAAATTATTTTAAGGTATTGTTTGAATTGATTGCCCTTAATTTTCATAGACACTCAAATTTTCAATAAATATTTTTTTGACCATGCTGTCTAGTTGACATTAATATTAAAAAGGTAAATATAGAGGAAGTCATATATAATCACGAGTATTACAATTTTTTGCAAAATATGAGAAGTTCAACAACCTCACCCTTGGTCATTTGAAATTTCTATGATTTACAAATTTTCATGACACCAAACACACTATTGTAATTTTAGGAATTTCGTACAGAAATTAACTTTCCCTCTTTAAATTAGAAATTTCTCACAAGAATTTATTTCCTACGTCCACCAAACGACGTTTAAAAGTATATGTATCTAGAAAAAATTTACAAGAATCCACGTGACTATATTTTTCCTAACGAAGAAGGCGATCTAAATAAAGGAATTTGTGTGAATAATTTTTATTTTATTGAAAAGTAAAGCATTTGAGAATGAAAGAAATTTTTTTTTTAAAAAAAAGTTATGGTGGATTTGAGTGGGACCATGAGAGAAGAGATATACGAAGTATAATATGAAAATGTAGTAGTTTCCCAAAAATATTTTTGATGCAAAGGAGGCTAATGCCATTTATTTAGTTATTATATTCCCCAAAAATATAATTAAGTGTAACACTACAAAAAAAAAGTCACATTTTGTAAGTGTAATACTTTTTTTTTTTAAAAAAAAAAACAGACGGTGTAATATTATTTTTTTAAACATAAATTATATAATTAAACTAGCACTATATTCAAGCAATAAATGAAATAATTTCAAAAGGTATAGATTTTAACTATCTAATATCAATTATTGTTAAAAAAAAAGGTTTACTAACATATAATCCTACTCTCTTATTTTTGAACTGATAAATTGGTTGATTCATTTAATTGACAAAAAAAAAATGATTGATTAAATAAAAAAAGAAATAAAATAATGTAAATTTTTTGGATGTAATTCAAGTAGTTGATTGCTATTTTAATAAAATTCTTTTATGATTGATTGATCCTTAATTTCCTTTTTTCTTTTTCTTTTTTCCTGTTCAATTGAATAATTTATTTTTTAATCACAAAAGAAAGAGCGGTATTTTAGTCTTAACAAGGGGACACTACAAGTGAACAACTCAATGCCTTGGCTTATATGATAGATAAAGTTAAATGGAAATTATTAATAATATTTTTTTGGAATATGATAAACATAGCCCTATACCTTGGGTGGTAGGGCTTTGTATAAGAAGCTACAAAAGAAATAATGATTAAAGATGTATAAACAATAATTATAACTAGGGCTATTCATTGGTCCAAGACCGAATTGAACCAAAGACCGAAAATTTGAATTTTAAGAACCGAAAACCGGACCGATTAAGTTGGGACCGAAAAAAAAACGGTCTAAAACCTAGACCGGTCCGCATCATATTGATTTTATGTTTAGTAAAAAATAGCTCATATACTTAAAGTCTTCTAAGTTTATTAAGGATAATATTAATCATTATTTAAGCTTTTATGCACAATTTAAGCAAATCTAAGCAAATAATTGGTCCGGTCCAAGATTTTTTTTACTAGACCGAGCTGAAGAGTAGAAAAATTAAATTTCTCAACTCGGAGACCGGACCGGTTAATTTGGTTTGGTCCGATCCATTTTTTTAGTCCAAATCGCGTTTTGAACACCCCTAATTACAAACAACGATTTGCGCATGATTTTATCATGAATTTCCAACTTTATTTCATTTAGGGAACTTTATTTAATAATGATTATGTATAGCCTTATTGTTGGTGTTCTTTTATCTTAGTGTACAAATTAGGTTGAAATTTGTTTAAATTTAAAAATTATATAAGATCAAACCAGAACCATTCATATGAGATCATGTGAATTGAACATAGCCGTAGTCATATCTTATTCCCTCCATCTCAATTCAATTATTTATCTGCAATGTCTCGCTTTAGTTGCAAGTCACAAATTAATAAACAAACCATTTAAGATAGCGTAGGTGGTAGATTGAATTGATTGCATGGAGTTAATGATCAGATCTAGTCAAATTAAGAGTGAATCGGATTGCATTGGTGTTATGAGAGTAAAATCAAGAATAATTTAGGTCAACAATGCATGAGATTGATAAATAGTTTTTCTAGCGATCGGCATGGGTCACTGCATACTACTTACGCTATCTTGATAGACTTATCTTTTTGGGAGACATCATTCTGATGTTTGATTTAATTTTTTTTAGTGAAATACATTATGTGTTTTTATAGAAGTTATGTATGATCAATGAAAATAAATTATATTTCACCTAATTAAAAAGTTATTGATGATTGAAGATACATGTTTTTAAAAATAATAATTGAACTAATTTCACTAATAATTCGTTTTTAGAATTCGTTGTATACACCCTGGTAAACTCAACTAACCCAAGGTTAGTCTTTGCTCTTCATTTAATGATTAAATGAAAAACAATCATCAAAATGAGTACAAAATACCCGTAGGTATACGATACACCCGGATGTATATAATAATCTCTCATTGGTTTTTTTTAATAGATATTAACTTAATATTACTCTCAATATAAAAAAGATAGTTAAAACTTTTTGCGTGCTCTTAGTGACACGTTATATGTCATGCTTCATCAGCCTACTAATAAAAGTTATGCTCTATTCACCCGAGATAATTAAAGTGTTTTGGTGTAAAATTATCAAAGTTGGGTTTGATCTAGTCTAGTCTATCCTAGCCTATGCTAGTGTTATTAAAATTCTTAATTTGGTGTTTAATTAATCATCTAATTCTACAAAAAAAATTAGGAACCCTAATTTGATGACAATTTTTTAAGAAAGACTTATCATGATGTGTCTCCATGTGTGGAATTACGCATCAATGTTATATAGAAGTATAATATACATTTTTTTTCTTCATTATATTAGTCTAGTTCAATTAATCACTCCATCTGATTTTATTATGAGCGCACATCCAATGCCGACGATATGCTAATGTTGGAGGATGTGGTCGCTTGTCCAACTTTGCACATACAAGTATATGCTACGACGAAATCACCTTTTAGATAAGTGTTATAGAAAAAGCACAACCATAGTTAGACATATACATGTTCTTTACTGTCTACATTGTCTAATATCTAGCTAATAAAAAGTTGATAAACTTAGTAGTGCATTTATAAGGTCCTTTATTAAATTATATCACATCATAAATTATCACCAACTTATTATTCATAACTAACTTCTTTTATATTATTGCTGAACACATGCAAAAACAGCAAAAATAAACAACGGAAGTTTATTGCATACCATTATATATTAGGTCCTACATGACTACACACCTCATATATATAAGGTCCTTCGTGATGAGGGTTTCCTAATTTTTCTTTTTTTTACTATTGTAATATATATACTTTCTTTGTTTTCTTTTAAATGCAACACACCCTTTAGCGCGGTAATTAAGAAAGGTGGAGTTTTGAACAAATTGCAAGTATTTGTAGATGAAACCCAGAAAATCTGGAATTAAGCTAGAAGAGAGAGAGAGAATTTGAGAGGAAATTAGAGAGAGAAAGTTAGGTAGAATTCATTAATGAGGAATTACGATCTTACAACAATATTCCAGCTCACGAAACTATAAATAGCAAATATATCACACATACAAAATGTGTGACTATACAACATCATGTTATGCCAATAACAGAATTGTAACTAACTAAAATATCTACAAGATATTTACAGCAAGCTATTCTAACACCCCCCCCTCAAGAATGAGCCAGTTGTGAAACACCAGGCCATTCTTGAACAGGAGTATTGTTCACCAACCCAATCTTCGAACTCAAGAACCTGTGCTGATCTGAGCCTAAAGGCTTTGTCATAATATCTGCCAACTGAAGAGCAGATCTAACATGCTTTAGCTGAATAAAACCAGATTGTACCTGCTCCCTAATATAATGCACATCAATCTTCTGACTTTTACCTCTCATGTGCTTAGTTTTCTCATGGAAACATGGATTTTTAGCAATATGAATAGCTGAAACATTGTCACAATACAAAGTAAGAGGAGTAGGAATAGTGATATCCAATTCAACAAGCAATCTTTCCAACCAAATCAATTCATCAGCAGTATGACTCATGCTTCTATATTCTGCCTCTGTTGAGCTCTTAGAAACAACTTTATGTTTCTTAGTTTTCCAGGAAATTAAAGAATTTCCAAGAAATACACAGTTACCAGTGAGTGATCTTCCTGAATCTGAACAAGTACCCCCGTCAGCATCACTATAACCTGTCAGAACAAAATCTGAATTGGTTGGATAAAATAAACCAAAATTCAGACTTCCTTTGAGATACCTCAGAACATGTAAGGTTGCATCAAAATGAGGTTTCCTAGGAGCACCCAAAAACTGGCTTAATTGCTGAACCACATATGAAATATCAGGCCTGCTCATATTAAGATACAAAAACTTCCCAATCAGTCTTCTATAAACTTCAGGATCACCCAACAGATCACCATCATCCATGTTCAACCTCAGACCCTTTGACATAGGAAAAGGAGCAGCATTACAGTTTTCCATGTTCTGATCCCTTAACAAATCCAAAATATACTTTCTCTGATTGAGAAAAATACCAGAACCAGACCTAGAAACCTCAATTCCCAAGACATACTTCAAAGAACCCAAGTCCTTGATAGTGAAAGCAGTATGTAAAGCAACTTTCAGATCATTAATCAAGGAATTGTCATTGCCAGTGAGCAACAAATCATCAACATAGGCAACAACAATTAAAAAAGAACCATTCTGTTTCAGAACAAACATAGAGTAGTCTTGTTTGAATTGAACAAAACCCCAGTTAACAAGAAATTTGGTTAACTCTTTGTTCCAACATCTAGAGGCCTGCTTCAAACCATATATAGATCTATTAAGCTTGCAAACCTGCCCAGGTTGAGCCTTTTTATAACCAGGAGGAGGATTCATGTAGACCTCTTCATCAAGAAAACCATGCAAAAAAGCATTGTTTATGTCAAGCTGTTGAATATCCCACTTTTTTACAGCTGCAATTGCCATAACAACCCTAACAGTAGTTAACTTTGCAACAAGACTGAAAGTGTGCTTATAATCCTTTCCTGAAATCTGTCTGTCACCCCTTGCAACAACTCTTCCTTTGCACCTTTCAACCTCACCATTGGGCTTAAATTTAGTTTTATAAACCCACTTGCAGCCTATAGCTTTTTTACCAGGAGGTAAAGTGGTGAGAACCTAAGTTTCATTGTCCTCCAAGGCCTTTAACTCTTTCTCCATGGCTTCCACCCACTCAGGGTGTTCCTTAGCTTGATTATAAGAGGAAGGCTCAAAAGCAGTAAGAACATTAGCAAGACTGTGCAAAGAACTTGAAGATAAATGAGCAAGGAAAGGTTCAGAATAGACATTGAAAGAAAGAGAAGAATCTGAAGAATTATGATCAATGGTTTTGTGTTTAGGAAGAGTAAGAATAAAATCTTTGAATTTTGTGGGAACAGTGGAAGGTCTAGTAGAAACTCTCACGAGTTGCTGAGGTTGTACAACATCTGAATTCTCAGGAACAGAATTAGAATTAGGATGTATAGGAGAAGAAGAAGAAGAAATAGGAGTAGGATTCTGAAAATAATCTGAAAAAGAAGAAGAAGGAGAAGAATGTGTGTGAGAAGAGGAAGTGGGAATAGAAGAAGAAGAAAGAGGAGTGTGAGCTGAAGATAAATCCAGTGCTGGATTTACCAGAGGTAAAGAATTATTTTGCAAAATAGGAAACTCAGATTTTCCTTTAAATGGAAATTCTGATTCTACAAAGTAGACATCCCTACTCAACACAACCTTATGATTATTAATATCATATAGCTTATAACCTTTCTGACCATAGGGATATCCAAGAAAAACACATCTCTTAGACCTTGCAGCAAATTTATCAGATAGTTTCTGGGATGGATAACACAAACATCCTATTACCCTTAAGGACTCATAATCTGGCTGTTTATGTAATAACATCTCATATGGAGTTTTCTGATTAGGGGATTTTGCTCCCACCAATCGGAATACGCCACGTGGGCCAATCAGGTCCTGCCAAGTGTCCCCCAATTGAAACTGTCAGGGCTTGCCACGTGGCACACGCCTATTCGTCCACACTGGACCTATTATGTCGTGACACGTGGCATCATCCATGCCTAATGGAGAAACCGGCCACCTAGGCCCAACTTCCAAGGGAAGCCCAATCAGCCTAAGGTTAACCTAAACCTAGGATTGTCACGTTTCCCAAGGTTATAAATACCTCCCTTAAACCTCATTAAGGGGGATTATGCACATTAAACACTCTCACCTAGAGAGACCCAATCACTTTAATTTCCGCATTAATTACTCCTTAATCAAGTACTAACTTGACCGTCGGAGACGGATCTCCAATCATCCGGAGCATCCGTTTGTTTTTCAGGTTCAGGCGTCCGGTTCCAGTCTCGGAATTGTAACTCTCCCGCAGGACATCAGAAAACCCCGAAACATTTTGGCGCCGTCTGTGGGGAGAGTACTTCTGAGATGGCATCCACGTCTGTACCAACTCCTGAAGAGAGGCGTCCCCTAGACGACCCTCAAGTTCAGTCGGACCATGATACTGAGGAAGAATTTGAAGTTGAAGCTCACACAGCTTCAGACCGGACCTTAAGGGCCCGACGCACCCGTCATACCGAAAGGAGGGAACGGGAGCATCTTCAACCTGGACTCAGTGATCCAGCAGGCGCACCGCCTGTTCAGCAGCAGCCGGCTGATGGGTCTTCTCCCATTACAAGGAACGAACTCATGACCTTCATGAGGGGCTTCAAGGGAGAGATTCAAGAGTTGCTCAACAAGAAGCCTGCTCTGGCCAAGGAACAGTCGGCTAAGAAACCTTCCACTTCAGGGAAGAGGAAGCCAGTTCAAGGGCGAGAGGCGACCCCTCATCCTAATTCTAGGAAGTGGGAGCCGCCTGCCCTTGATTTCACAAAGTACCGCTTTCCTACTCCAGGAAAGAGGAAACCTGTTCGTCATATTCAGGCGGACGGGTCGAAGAAAACATACACAGATGCTCGGTTATTGCTAGAATAGAAGAAGAACGACCGATTGTCTGAGTCGGCCTCTACTTCAGACTTCCAAGATAGTCTGCGCAATACCTCGATGAAGTATACTCAGTCGTATCATGAGAGTCAGTCAGGCGGCACCTCCCGTCAGTCCGGCTTTCATACTGACCAGGCGGTACCAAACTTACCATTTGTACCGCAACAACAATATTTTTTGCAGCCACCTCTGTTTGGTGGGCATGCAGCAAAGAATGTCCAACCTATGGACTGACAGCTACGGTTGCTTAGACTTGGGGAACAGCCGTCGGCCTTCTCCAAGGAAATTGCTGAAGCCGCTCAGCCGGCCAAAGTGAAAAATGTACTAGTAGGCGCCTATGACGGCACTACTAACCCAGAGGACCATTTGATGGCATTCACCAACCTGATGTACCTTCAAGGGTTGGATGATCCCACTTGTGCAAGTGTTTCCCAGCGACTCTCAAAGGAATCGCACAACAATGGTTCGGCAACCTGCCGATTGGTTGTGTGAATAACTTCAGGACGCTTGCTTACTTATTCACCTCCAACTTTGCCATGAAGATACCTGCGAAGAAGACAACCCTTGATTTAGGAACGATTCAGCAGGGCGAGAAGGAGGGGCTCTGTTCTTACATCAGGCGGTTTAACCTGATGAGAATACAGATTCAAGGGTTACCGGATGAGGTAGCCTATACTGACTTTTTCAGAGGCCTCAAAGACGGGTCGACATTCAAATTGATTTGGTCCGAAAGAGGGTGGCGACTCTTCAAGAGGCCTTGATTGAAGCGGAAGCCTATATACAGGCGACTGATCTTTGTAGTACAAAACAGTCGGACGGGAAAAGGTTCGACAAAAAAGAAGGGCGACAGAAACAGTTGTCGAACAAAGATGAGAAGAAAAGAAAAGAGGTCTGGGCGGCTGATTCCTCTAAACAGCCGGCCCAGAAGAAGAAAAAAGAATTCAAACCATACACCCCAAAGTATGCGTTTAACAAGGATAGCCAAGCTATCCTAAAGGAAATCAAGGGACGGATCTCAATTGAGAAGTTGGTCCCCATGAAGGGTCCTGCAAGCAACCGGAACCAAGAAAAATTCTGTGATTATCATGAAGATGTTGGTCATCACACCAACGAATGCATCAGTCTCATGTGGTATCTAGACCGCCTGGCTGAGCAGGGCGATCTTGACACTTATGTCAAGAAATCTACGGGGAACACTTCCTCGAAAAAGCAGTCGGCCAAAAAGAGTCAACAAGCCGACAACTCTGACACAGATGATGCAGTCGTCTACACCATTGCAGGTGGCTTCGCAGGAGGCGGTCCCACTATTAGGGGCAACAAAGTCAATATCAGGCGGCTAGATGTAAATTCCGTTCACCAAGAACGACCCTCCAAATATTCATTTCCTGAGATTGTCATCACTGAAGAAGATCTAGGAGGGGTAAGGGGGCCGCATGACGACCCTATCGTTATTGAGTGTAAAGTGGCCAACCAGAGAGTTGGCCGAATCCTTATAGATACTGGAAGCTCCTCAGATCTTATCAGTAGCAAATGTCTGTCAAAATTAAAATATCAGACTGATTGCATACATCCGGCATCCCACCCTTTAGTAGGGTTTGGAGGAGGAGTTGTCCACCCAGTGGGACGAGTGGATTTACCCATCCGCCTGGGTGAGAAAGGGGAAGGACGACACATGGTAGTCCGGTTCCTGGTAGTAGAAGAACTCTCGGCCTACAACATGATTCTGGGACGACCAACCCTGAATAATTCCAAGGCTGTTATAATCCCATCTCTTATGTTGCTCAAGTTTGAGAGGGATAATGGAACAGTCGGGTCTCTAAGGGGAGATCAGAGGATGGCCCGAGAGTGCTATCTCTCGGATATCAAGCCCACTGTTATGACCGCTGGATCAAGTGGTGGAAAAACAGACCTTGACAATGTCAAGGAGAGTGCGCCTGTTCAAGAAGCAGGCGGCAAGAAGAGAAAGGCAGCCCAGACGGGGGCCGCAAGAAAAGACAGAAAATAGCAATCATTGGCAGAGGAGCGGTCGGACGAATTTCGCCCTCAGCCGGCTGGTGAGCATACGGACCTGATCATAGACGACTCACGTCCTGACCGAACAGTCAAAGTTGGGACGATTGCTCTAAGAGTCCTGGGTGACAATTTGCACAAATTATTGAAAGAATACAAGGACATCTTTGCATTCGAAGTCCACGAAATTCCAGGCATTAGTCCTGACCTGGCGGTACATAAACTGGTTGTGGATCCGAAAAAGAAGCCGATAAGGCAGAAAAAACGGAACCATGGCGAAGAAAGAAGTCAGGCGGCAGCCGCCGAAGTCAAAAAACTACTTGATGCAGGGTTCATTCGGCAATGTTACTTCCCAGACTGGGTTGCAAATGTGGTGCTTGTTAAAAAGCCGAATGACACTTGGCGAATGTGTGTAGACTACACAGACTTAAACAAAGCGTGCCCCAAAGACAGTTACCCTCTGCCTAAAATTGATAACCTGGTCGACTCAACAGTCGGCCATGCTTTAATGAGCTTTATGGACGCCTACTCTGGTTTCCATCAAATTCCTTTATGGAAGAAAGATCAGGAGAAGACGGCCTTCGTCACTGATCAAGGGTTATACTGTTACACGGTTATGCCGTTCGGTCTTAAGAATGCCCCGGCCACCTTCCAGCGAATGATAAACACTGTGTTCTTTGATCAAATCGGGAGAAACGTCGAGGCATACATTGATGATATGATTGTCAAGTCTAAGCTTCAGACAGATCATCTGTCGGACCTCCGAGAAACTTTCGCCACACTCAGGCGGCACCATGTCATGCTCAATCCCAAGAAATGTGTATTTGGAGTTGAGTCTGGGAAATTTCTCGGATTCCTTATCAATCAGAGAGGAATAGAGGCGAACCCTGAGAAGGTGCAGGCGGTCATCAACATGCAGTTGCCTCGTACCATCCGAGAGG